TCTTTTTTGACCCTTTCTATTTCTTTTTGTTCATCGTTTTTTGCGCTTTTTCCGTTGTTATTGCTTTATTCTAGAGTAGTTCTATGAATTCCCGTCAAAAAAAGGGTACCCTAAATTTATCGTTAACGGTGCCTTTAATTATCGTAATGATGACGTTTAGCTTCGTAAAGCGAAGGAAGGCAAAGACAGGGAGGTTGTTGATGGACGATGAAACCCACACCCATCATTTGGCGATAGCAAAATAAGCGGGTTATAGCTTCTTTTCTATGAAGCTCCCTAGCCAGAAATTCCTACTACTTACACCTTTGGAGGTATGATAATACAACTCGTCCATTTCTTTCCTTCGTAGGAGACTTTTTGCCTTGAAAAAGTAGCATCTGACAACATAAGGCTGTGCAACTTACAGGTGCTCATTGGGGCTTTTGGCTTTGCTTACACCTCACGTCTGACATTGTCAGGGAAAAAACGTTGTATTCTAACATTATTTTGTATAAGTGAAGTGTGTTTGATAGCATTAGCGTAGCTGAAATGGTTACAAGCAAGCTAGACGTCAGGAAACATGATTTGATCTCATTACCGGAGCAAAAGCCTACATATAGACTAGACGTCGAAAACCATGTTCTCTTCATATTTCCGCATTGCTTTGATGGGAGAGAAACGCACGAGTTTTTGCTCTAGGGCTCTCAATAAAGTCATGACAATCTTTCTTCTCATCAGGAATACTGGTTTATTTTATTCTTACTTTTTTTGTAGATCGGAATGCTACGGAATCATCAGAAGGAAATTTTTAAAGATGACTTTCATCGTGAACTGTTCCTTTAAGAGATGCCTGAAGACACAGTACGCGATGAAAATAATTATGGTGCTTCAGTAGAGGGGATTTCTCTTCTCTAACACGACAACCAAAAAAATAATAACATAGGCTCAGATCCTCCTCCCTTGAAAACACATCTTGTACATTAACCCTGAGGACATTACCCCTAATTCATATTCACTTTCTTTTTTTGAATTTAGTAAATATGAAAACTTGCTTTCTCGGTTTCCAATGGATGTCGTCGTTCAGGTGGATCGGTTTCATTTTGTTTTCCATTTTATGCCTCGTATTAAGATTTAACAATGCCATCATAAATTGACGGGGTTAGTCATCTTCTTCAACACAGAATGCTCATTGCCTCGTTCATAATTTTCTTTCCATTTAAGTCACTGACTCACATTAATTAGATAATGTATGTTTGAGTGGCTACAGATACTCTGAAATCTCATAAACAAGTCCTTTTCATATGCTTGTTATAGTGTTTTCCTATAGAGTCTGATATCGGCCTTCCGCTTAATGAGGAATTGAGAAAAATCAGCCGTTGGCCATGTTTTCAAATTCCTTTCTGAAAACCTTCTATCATATAAACAATTTAGCGGAAGTCGATAGCCAGTTGTTGTTTAGCACTTAACAGCTGCTTTGATATGCACACCAGTGTTGCTCATACAGTGAATTTTCTACGGAGGGGGAGGGGGGTTGGGGGAAGAGGGAGGCAAGCGAAGCCTCATACTGAGCCTCTCAACCACACCGTGAACTGCTACAGCATTCAAAAATGGATTATCAAAAGAGGAATCCTACACTACACTGAAGTCAGGTCGCCAGGTTGTATTAAGACTTTATTTTGTTTCAAAGTTCCACTAGGTAAGAAAATACGTGGTTAAATCATGCCGGCGACGAATGCAGATAGGGTAAGCTAGAATTTCGCCCTTCTATGCGGCGTTAGACGGGCTCACGACTTAAGAAGTATTCACTCCATGATCTCATCCCTTTGATATCCCAGGTCAATTATAATAGGATTGCTTGAAGAAGCAGTCCCCAATGAAATGATTTCGGTATTACGATAGTGGGATGGATCCTTGTCGCCCGAGAGGCAACATGTATAGTTGTTCCAAAAGCAAAGCATATATGAGGTGACTTTGTTGAAAATGTATTAGTAGAGTGATATTTCTCTCATTTTGTCCGGATTCATCAGGGCTGAGGAGCGTGCTCGCATAAATTGTATGGACTTGAAGGATCCAAACCAAAGAAAGCTCAAATTTACAGAAATGTCGTCCGATACTTTACGATTGGACGGATGGAACTATGCATTGTTCTTTATTGAGACTATTCTGAATGCTGCCTTTGTTCCTGTTTTCTTTGTATTCGCCTATATTTGTGCTACTCAAAAAAATCTCCACGTGAATTTCAGGTGAGAAGTCATCGCTGACTAAATGTCTACCATTTTTTTCACATCAGACAGAAAAAAATTGGTAATTGTGAAACCAAACAGTACAGTAGTCAGCCTAGGGTGTAGTTGAAGAGTCTTGTAGGCCTACAAATTTGCGGAACGAAAGTGTATGCTTTCAATAGCGGAACAGCTCTTAATCTAGAACGGAAAATTCCTGTGGAGCTGACGACACTACGAGAGAAACGCCAGAGTAAAAAACCACGAGTTCTATTGATGACGACCTTCGCTCGTGAAATATGGTCGCGCCTAAAATAGTTTTCCAGCAAAGAACCAACTTAGTGGTTTTCGAAGCAGCCCGAGAAATCCAGAACTGATCCAGTCCCAACGATGTAGTTGGGTGATGGAGGTTGAAAGGACCTCATTGGTTCCGTCGAAGCATTTGTAGCGAATTTCGGAGTTCCAAACGAAAATATGTGATTACTGTAACTACCAACTCAAGTAAAAAGGAAGTACTGTAATGGCTAATAAATAGTCATTGGATGCATGATCGAAAAGCTGATTAGTGACCGCAACCATAAGACTCTTTCATAGGAGCATAGCCACGTATTTATGTACCTTCTTGACTAAGTTTTCGGCAACATAGAACAACATCTAAACTTTCATTTCTTGACTTTACAAATGTTAATTTGAAAATACGCTATTACTGTTCAGAAATATGTACTTTCAGGTCAATTTTATTCTTCACAGGAGTCGGTTGTTTAGTTGGAGCCGTTCATCGTCTGATTCTTGTTGTTGCTCGAGTATGCTGTATAGCAAGAAGTGAAACACAACTTGTGGTTGGAACTTTTCGATTTATACTATTTTACAAAATGGGAAGTATAGCTTTCGAAGAAGGGGTGTGCCTTTGTCAGGAAAACGTAGGAGACTTCTTTTCGTTGGGAACGCAAGTACAATTTCCGGGGAATCGCTTTTTGAGCTTTTCTCCTGCGCCACCTTTTCCATTTGCTTTTTCTCTTTTTGCTTTTCTGCTTTCTCTCTTCTAAGTGTTTCATTACAAGTAGTTTCTCGAGATTCGACCTCTGAGTTCCACCCGCTCATGGGGGAAGGAAGAACCGGATGGACTCAAAGGTACATAAGCTACATTCTATCTGAGGCAGTAATACCCTACTCGTCGAAGAGAAAGAATTGCAATGAAAAGCAACAGGACCGCTGAAAGAAAATCAAAAATCAAATCTCGTAGGAAGAGGAGTGGGTAGATGGCCTTTTCACATGACGACGGTCGACTGGGTAAACCTGAGCCTTGTTGCAATACTACAGGTGCTAGCCTCCTTACTCTCCTTGACAGCGTCGAGAACGACGGACTCTTTTACTGCGTGGGGTGTCTCGACCGAGGTTTATCTGCGAAGCTCGTATCTCTTTTTGCAAAGCAAGTGAAGCAGTGGTAAACACAGATAGTGCTTTCCTCCGCCAACGCTCTGTCGACGCTAAGGGCTGCCGCTGTCGCTCCAGTGCCGCGAAGTCACCCATAGAAGATCATAGTGGAATTTCTCCCGAAGTCCCACAGCGAAAGGCAGTGATTTCGCGGAGATCACCTACATTGGAAATTCGAAGCTTCCCCCTTCATAAAACGCGATTGCGTGCAATCGCATGGCGGCGAGCGCGACGCGACTTTCAGGAATAAGTGTCCACTCCACGTGCAAGCTTCCAGAATGTTCTACAGCTGTCATATGATGCATTATGGATATCGATCAAAAAGACGAAAGTTTTAGACTTGAAGATCTTAACAAAACTTTTCAGTCCACTTAGTACATCAGTAAGATGATGAAGAGATCCCACGTTTTTAAGGGCGAACTCTTCTTGCTCCAAAGTTTTGGTCAATATCTCACTACATTTGGCTCCCTCTTTGTGGTTGTTGAAAGAGCAATTGCTTCATCATATTCAAGTTCATATGATCGACAATGCACTGGATTCACTTCTGCTGTTGTACTGTGTGGAACACTTGTAAGTTTATCAAAATCTCTCTCCTCCCATTATAGTTATACACAGAAGGAAACCGTTTTTCCATAACCAATTTACCAATTTAGCTTTCATATGATCGATGGTTACCTTGGTCCCTAGACTGAATCGTGAGGAAATTCGATCCCTTGAAAATTTCGATTGAGCGCTACATGAGTTGGAACCCGTTGTAGGACCTAGCCTTGGCGAAACTTTATGCTGTTTTTCTCGGAAATTCGGGACCTCCTTTTTGATTCAACAGGCTCTGACTGAACCTGCACTATGTGCAGTATGGAGCTTAATCCTTATTTGCCCATCAGCAAAAAGAGAAATTGCTCCATATGTGCAATCTCCCTTTACTTAAGTTATGTTTTCTTTTTATTTTTATCACTCTGATCCAATCCCTCATGCTATATGGTAGGCCCGAGCACCCGAGCAGAGGCGTTCGGACGGGGTGACCGAAATAATGCTTGAAGTCAGAATCCCAGACTCAAACTTCACACCAAGTCTTAATGATACTTCTTTGCAGATGTTGCTCAGTCTCCTACTTTTTGGCATTACTGCATTTCATCTAAGTAAGTTCAGTTTTTTTTTGTAGTAAAAAAATTTTGATTGCACGTATACCTATATTTTCTTTTTTTCGCCTTCTCTAAATGGGATTTTACCCCGAGACGGTATTGTTTAACGCCAAAGACTTTATTCTCTACTCTTTATTACTTCATACAGTTTATTATAAATGTAATGCAATGGACGAGTTTTCTTCCGATATAATGTGGCGAACAATTATGTTCATTTCAGTCAACAACTTTGGTCTATACTTTACGCTCATGCAAATCGTTGTTGTTATTCTATGTCTAGTGGTAAGAGGTAGCCATGCGTCACTGTTTAAACTTACTTGAATTTTTCAAGCTTTTTTCAGGCGCTGATAATTATACTACGGATCAACACTTTGACCTATCGAAAACGACACGAGTCGATGATGCAATTGGCTGATAGATATCATTTTGATGAGAATATTCGAGCTGGAAAATATTATATACCTGTTGCTTTGAACGACTTCATTTGCAAGGTTCAACTTTTACCATTCGGCATTACGAAGCGACAGAATCGAACCTTTATAATGAATATTATGTCTTTTTGGTGAGCGGAGGTTGAGTAGAGGCGAGCGACGAACTATACCATTCTTATCACAGGATTGGCACATGCCCTAGGCAAACCGAGCCTTCTAGCTCTCAAGGAGGTTAATTTTCGCTAAACCTGGAGGAAGAACGTATGGACTCGTACATCGGCTGGCTACTGCACGTCAATATGTAGACTACATGCGCAGTTGAAACACCATTACGATTCTGGATGGAAGTCGGATGGAGGCATATCCCCTGCTGGAATTGATTTGAGCCGAAAGACTTCGTTCCTTGACATTTTTCGGTGTAGAGAACGCGATCAGCTGAGGGTTTTTGTGTGTTGTGAATTAAATTCGTGAAAAAGTGTCTACACAGGCCGGGAGCAAACTTGGAGTTCGAAAAAAGTGGCTGAGCTGTCGGTCTTCCATAGAAAAAAAAAGAGACTTTCCTGAAGACTTCCTCAAGAGAAATTGCTCAAGAGCGGCTGTTCCATCAGTGGATCATGATGCTGACAGAATCTTCGACTTACAATTAGTCACAAAATCCCACTACTTTCAGGTTACTAGTAATTTCCTGAGTGGTCTCAAAAAAATCACGTTCACACGATAGGTGTGACTGCAGTCGACTTTTTTCTCACCACAAGTTCCGTTCTGATACGTTTAGGGTGTGGCAATTAGGAAACAGGGCTCGGGGATTCCTTATATGGTAATGATGACTCATTGACTAGCCTGTCTCTTCTGTCCCACTTCTCCTATCTCTCACTGGTAAGGGCTCGATGTTCTCACATAATACCGTAGTAGTCAAAGGAGGAAAGATCAAATTCATTTAACAAGAAAAAAATTGAAAAAAAGGGGTGACCAAATTCGGATTCCATTTTACTTTGACATTGCCTACCAAACCAATCTTTACCATCAAAGTCGCTATTTCAGGTGATTTTTGTAGGACTCTTGGCATATTCGATATTTTTCACTGATATTCCACTTGGCCACGATACGACCCATCTAAGTCATGCATATGATGTGGTCAGTGGTACTTCTACTTGGACAATGCGTCTACTAAGATTAAAGGAGCAAACCTTTAAGATGTTCGCGTACCAACGAATGTTCTTCGGGCTGGCATTGACATTACGAAGCGAAAAATTCGATAATCTGATGAGACGAAAGAAGAGAGCCGTTCGAGTGATTGACAGTCAAGCAGCAACTAATCATTTTGACGGACTTAGAAAACTTTGGTCATAATTGTGATAAGTAATAAATATTATTTCAAAAATGCCCTGAGCACTCATATGGAATTCGGTCTAGTACCTCTAGAAGCCGTTCTATCCAGCTTGAAATTGCAGAAAAACTAATATACCTTACGGTCTCTGCGCTACCTTCCGTCAGAGACGACTTGGCTACGGAACCATGATTAATGGATTTCCACTGTTGTTATATTCTTCGTAGTGAATCATGGTATGTACTAAAGCCTCCTCTTCGAGTTTCTCCTCAAAATCATTACAGCCAAAAGCTTCAGCTTCAGAGATATGGGTACATACGTGCGTCCGAGGATGCGCGCGGCAAAGTGCGTGTTGATTCGAACGACTCTGGCGCCCATCATTGAAGCTCAAATTTGAAATACAGTAGATTATTAGGGTCAACTGTTACTACTAATCTACTCTACTTCAAGTTTGGGCCCCAATGATAGGCGCCAGAGTCGTTCGAATCAGCACGCACTTCGCCGCGCAATTTGCCGCGCGCTTCCTCGGACGCACGTAAGTTCCGTCCCCCCAGCTTCAGTGGTTTCGCAGCGATTACTGTATCTTCCTAGTAGGGATTCATATCCTCCCCTCATGGAGCGATAGGAGGTACCAATGGGCGCTTTCTGAGTACGGCGCGAGCGTTGAGCGTGAAGCGTCAATAGCTGAGCGTTGACGTCTCGTCGGCGTCTGCTCTGCTATTGACGATATCCGTGTTGAAGCAGCTATTTTCCAAGCAGAGCTGCGTACAACTCATATAATGATATACTTTTCCCACATAATACCGTAGTAGTCAAAGGAGAAAAATCAAATCCATATAGCAAGAAAGAAATTGAAAAAAGGGGTGACAAACCAATAAAAACTGGGTCGGGAGATAATCCACCGCCAGCATATGTGGTATCAATCGGCAGCCAGCTTGTCAATAGAGCGTGCTCAACGCTATACTCTGTAAAATGCCAACCATTCACCAAACACCAACCTTCATGATGACCCTAATCATTTGCATAAGCCAGCCTCCCCTAAGAAGTCTACAAGGGATTTGCCTTTGCAGTGCTGTCTCTCCTTACTGCATTAACAATGTGAAATGCATTGCAACAAATAAAAAATTCGATGAATTTGAAACGTGCAAACAGTTGAAATATCAACATGAGCATCGCTTGCTTCCACATGTAATCGTATATGTGCAAGGACACTGGAGTTCATCTATCTTAGGACTAATGAGAACGCCGCGCTACACTTTTGGTTCCAATTTCAATCCTTGTGTATAGAACCAACAGGTACAGGAGAATTTTTGATAGCTGATCTATAAACAACGGTAAAGCCCACAAAAATCGAAATTCCGAACCGAAGTCTGAGGCAATGTTATTATTGTTTGTCTGTTTGTTCGAGCAAATCTACAAGGACAGCAAACAACATTTGAACCACAAATAATCATACTAATTTATTATCTGTTTTGGTATTGGACACCCAATTCTAATAAAATAAAAGAAAGTCAAATAAATTGGAGGCCTTTCCACAATATGTCTCACATATCTTACTATTCATACAGAAAAAAAGAAACGTAGTTTGTATAACATGTACTTATTGTAGTAGCCTAGGTTACTGAACATTGCCGCGATTTACTCATATACATAAGACGAAGGAAGAAGAAATGCAAAGTACAAGCGAATACAAAATTGAGGCGATATGAGGTGGAATGGACATTTGTTTATAGACATGGAGAAAATTTTGTTAGATCGATGCAAATAACCTGCCCAGACAGGCTCTCGATTTCTACATACGACTACAAATACCCGCAAAATAGAGATAGTAATACCATCTCCACAGGATGAACATCTGGGTCGGCAACATACAGCTGAAATTTCAGTCTCCTCTTCCATATAAATACGAAGGGAACGCGGACCTTACGACCGAGCTCTCATCAACAGCTGATCACTACCGATCCATTAGGAGGAAGTCCGCTCAATCACAATGAGTGAACTGATCTCACCGGACCCTCCTAGTGGAATCTCTGCGAATTTAAATATTTCAGTATGAACAACCGTCAAAATCATTTGGCGTTCATCGTTTTTTCGTCTTCTTCTTTGTTTTACAACCACAATAGAAAAATTCATCATCTGGAGCTTCTTCGCGACCCAAAATGCAGATATTGTGGAACCAGTTCTGACAGTCATCGCAAAGTATCTGAAATCCTTGTATTCAATTGTATTATACAGTTGAAAAAATTTTTTGGTAGACCCATTTTGCAGTTTTGATATCAAACTTGTCAATATCTTTCGAAGCCCTATAGATATACCTAGCCACTATTCAAAATTCCATGGGAAGTTGAAACCCTTCCCTGGTAAGTAAATTACGTACCCATCCAACTTGCTCGCTTTGTGGCCTTGTACACTCAGCATTCAGGGCACATGTTGTACTAGGATCGTGTTGCGTGATCGCTTCCTCGTCCGTGTTCGAATCTTGACGCTTACGATTCACACCCTGCAAGAAAAATAGTATCGCTCCACTTAAAACTGACCCACATTTTCTCACAAAGAAGAAGAAACCATTGAAATGATCTGGTAACACTATGAAATAAACTTTATTGATTAGGACACTAAC